TGGCCCCACTTCTCTGTAAGAGTTGTGGCATTAGTTATTGTCTCTGCTGCCCCAACAACCGTCGTCGCTGTGACATGAACAGACTTCCTTCCAGGAGCCGTGCACACAGGTGTCGGGGCCCCTCAGCGACCCTCAGCCCTTCTGGGGACACGGCCCGGCCACCCAAGAGTCTCTTCAGACAAGAGAGCCTGTGCCGGTCTCCCTTCAGTTGGTTATACACACACACAGCACACTCACTGTGCACAGATGTACACACGTACTCACAGTGCTCAGACACATGCATGTACACATGCACACACATGCATGCACACACATCGAACACATGCACACATATGGCACACTCATATTGCATGTGTGCACACATACCTCACACGTGCTCACGTGCACACACATGCACACACACACACACACTCCTTTGTGTTAACTTGCAGTGCCCGGCCACCTGTCTGCAGTCCCAGTACTCCAAAGATGGAGTCCAGGCCGTTCCAGAAAGTGGCAGGAAGTGGGGACCCAGGAGGAGGACCAAGGCCCATGTAGCACAGGACCTGGAGTGGGGAGATGCCTTGGCTCATCCTTCTGCTCACAAGGGGGGTCTCTAAGGAGAGTGGAGTGGGGGGGCCCGGAGGATGGCCAACACCACCTTTGGAAAAAAGGAAGCATGAAACCAGCAAGGTCTGCAAATCCACAAAACACAAGACACTGCACAGGGACACAGGCTTTAAATATGAAAATATATTCACATCTCTACAAGTGTAACAAGGACCCATGGGGCATGCATTCCACAGAGAGACTCCCGAGGACCCCGCGGCATCCCAGACCCCACCCCAAAGGTGACTGGAGCCGCCCCTACACATGCCATGCCACCAGGAACAGAAGCACATCTTATAAAAACCATTTTATGTAAAACAAGGATTCATAAATACATGTCTACACAGCCTCCCCACCCCATCGCAGACAGAGGAAGGCAGCATCGGCCAACTTCCAACATCGCATCACCTGCAGGGTTCCATCGGCCGCCCCACCCAGGGCTTCACGCCATCAGGAGGAACGTGGGGCAGGGCCTGGCAGGCAGCCAGGGGGGCGCGAAGGAAGCAGGGCGGTCATTCCGCCCACCCGGAGCTGCTAGCGCCCAGGCCTTCATAATAAATACAAACTGCCCACGAGTCCCAGGCGCAAACCAGAGTTGCTTCTCCCGGCTGTTCCTCCCCGTCCCCGGAGAGCAGGGCTCTCTACACTGGCTTCACAGGGGAAGGCACCCACGGACTGAAGCTTTTAAAAGAAAGGGGGGTGGCTTCTCTCCGAGTCCGTGGAGAGCTCGGTTCTTTTATA